TAATTAGGTGGATTATACAAATTATTGTACAAAAATATGAAATATATTGAATGAAACAATGTTTCTATCTTCATGTGGCTTCTGATCTGCTGCTGGATCACAGACGTTTTTCTCCTCTGTGCGTGAGCTGCAATGAGCCAATCGTCCCTGACCCGGGCAGTGAGGAAACCCTCAGAGTTGTAGCCTTGGAGAAGAACTTCCATCTTAAGTGCTACCGATGTGAGGTATGAGGACAAAATATAAAAATGCACCAAACTACCTAACTTTAGCTCCTCATGCACTTTAACAGACACTCCCTGCTTTCATACTCCTAACTCTTGGACGCTCTTATCCGCTCACCCACTGCTTCACATCACACACCATTAACAGTACAGTGTGGAAAATTACAATAAATACAATAGCAAGGTACAATGCTGGAAAATAATAATGTACTTATAACAAGTATGAGAATGAACATTTATATTTTTAATTCTAAAATCAACATTAGACCAAAGTTTCAGTTGCCTAGTGCACATTACTTGATATTCAGTCAGAAAATGTGGTGGAACAGCAGAGCTGAATATAAGGTGAAATTTGAGTACAAGTGAAATTTATTTAAAAAGCCAGTCTTGCTCGACGTACTTTTCAGTACAAATTGCTCTTAAACAAGGTTTTAAAGAAATGTAAAGGGTTTCAGAGAATGGTGTACACTCCTCTTTCTCTTCTTGCTCCCAGGACTGTGCCCGCCCGCTCTCTATAGAGGCAGACGCTGACGGCTGTTATCCATTGGACGGGAGGATTCTATGCATGAAGTGCCACACACAGCGTGCCAAGCAGGCCATGAAGTGAGTGGTGGAGACTCCTGTCACCCATATTAAAAACCAAACCTAAAATCAAAGATTGACTCTGCTCTGATTCCAGGCATTTGATGCATTGTCTTTGTGAGTTCTGTAATTCCTTCTCTTTTGCCACTATTTGTCATAGAGCCTTGTTTTAGTCTGTCCCTTTCCATAGCTTTATCAGCAAGCCCAGAACCTAATAACTACAGCAGCTCTGTTGGTTGTTGGGTTTTTTTTTTATGCATGTCCTTTAGAAAGGCCCTCTTCACCTCTCTCCAGGTCCTTTCTCAAACAGCTTCATGGATGTTTACTGCAAAATCACAAGCACTCCATCTCAGCATGTGGTTGCTTGAACACAGTGTTCTGACATGTCATGTAATTTAATAAATGAGAACAGGGTTTTTTTAGGATGTGATATGAGATTGTGCAACTATGTGGCTTTATTTCTAGTTCAGTGCAACTCTTCAGCTCCTTCAGCTTCGCACAGGCAGAACAACAACTCTCGTAAAGCTTATCACAGCCTCCGGAACAAAAAGATTAAGGATTAAAGGAAAGTTAGTGTTGCTTATGAATAGTAGTATTAAATAAATATGAAATATTTGAACTAGTGAGCAGCTGAGCAGAAAAATGCTTTTAGAAAAATGTGCTTTGCAATTAGACCTGCAGCTGCGTAGATGCATATGAAGGCTGGTAGGGAATTATCTGTGTTACAGAATGGGTTAGTCTCTGAACAAAGCTTTGTTTGTGTTTGTCTTGCATGCAAAATTTATTTAACAAGACTGCATGATAAAAACATTTTTTTAAAAAGCACAAAAATTGACCACTAATTACTAATGTAATACCAAGAATGATAGATGGATGGAAATATTGCATAGTATTAAGTCAGTGACAGCCCGATGGTTTCCATTCCATGGTACAATCATGTATAAAAATGATCCTACGTGTCTGACAGCTAATATGACTATATAACTAGTGTCCATTTGAGATGTTTAACCGTTAGAATGAAGTATTCAGAAATATGTTAGTTGGCTGGCTGGTCAGACTTGTATGGGAGCAAGACTGACTTATCACTCCTTCACTTATGCATTTACAAGTTATGATATAGAGTATTATATAGGGAGCAGCAGAAAAGGACGCAGCGGCCTGGATTCGCACAACAGTTACTTCTGAGTGTAACAGAAACGCATCAATACACAAACAAAATATTACTGAACCTGAACTGTAACCCCAAAAATAGACAAGTGTGAAAATTGATCTGTATTAAACACACCACTAACATGTACCTGTTGGCTTTAGAGGTTGTTAAACAACATTTTTATAGACATTTATACATGATGTTGTATGTTGGGTGCTCTGGTATTCATCATGACAAGTACATTTTGATGTGAAATAAATAGCTATGTATTGTGGATTTATAGAGGGTATTAATGTATTGAACCATCCAGAGTACATCAGTCCACTAAGAACTCAGACAAAATAGCTGAGCTCAAATACAGGGTGTCGCAAAAGTCTCCATACATAGGGGACTATGTTTGCCAGTTGTGCCTTCGTCAGTGGATGTTCGTGGACGTCCACTTCTAGGTTGGTCCGCAACACTTCCAGTCTTTTTTTTGAATTTGTTACTAAGTTTGGCAGCAGTGTGGTGTGTGAGGTGCTTGCCATGTTTCCTGTTAAAGATCATCGCAACCTTGCGACAGCTTCCTGATCCAGCCATGAGAGTGATTTCAATACATTCTTTTATATATAAAAACCAAGTATGAAACATGTATGGAGACATTTGGGACACCCTGTAGTGTACTGTATCAGTGGATAGGGAACAAATTCGGATGCTGCCCTTAGGCACATGTTGAAATGCACTGTCAGAAGAATGGCAAGACTCTTTTGCACAAATGCTTTAAAGGATTTCCTAGTTTTAGCCTGTAATGAACAAATCAATGGGTCTTTTTCATGAGACGGTTATACTAATGCTACCTTAGGAATTTCAGTTGATTCTGGAAATGGACTAAATTCTAAATGTTTAGCTGAAATTCTTAAACGTGAAGAAGGCTACATTCCTTAAATTTGCATTTTACACTCACCACCTTCTTCACATGTTTAATTATATAACCCCACTTGGAATTTAACAAGAATGTTCTGCACAGTGTTGCACAGGTGGATTAAAGGTGAACAGTCTCCCGCTGTCTGTACAGTCATTTGAATGACCCCCCTTTAGATTTCTAATGCATTCAATGAATTTTTCTCCATCATGTTTTGTTGTCATGTCAGTATCACCATGAATTTACAGTATGTCATGGACATCCATTATAGTGCCACTTGTTTTTTTTTTTCCTTCTTTTTATTCATTTACTACATATACAGTATATATACAAGCGCTTTATTTTGCAGTTAAATTCCTTTGTAATATGTGAATGTGTGTATGTTTACGGTCTGCTGATTTCTTTTTTTTTGCAATCAAGCTCTCATTTGTACTGTATTATAAAATTAAAACAAAAAACACTTTGACATTCTGCTTGATTTCTAAGCATGTTCCTTGGAGGATGGAAGTAACGGAATGAGATTAAATTTAAATCCTTGATTTGAATTTGTCTTGGTTTTCTGTTGAGCCCCAGGTCATCTTAGTGACCAGTGTCTACTTTGTGTAATATTACTCTAGATCAAGAGAAATTCACTCATTTCTGTGGGTATAATGAGATGTAATTTCTAGAATTTCCTCATGTGTATGTTGGCAAGTGACAATTAAACGTGCTCCTTCCCACGCAGTGTGTGACATGGAGCTACGTCATAGATGCGTCTTCTCACCCTATCAGTCCGCACCAGGCTCACACTCCACTGATAGCAGAGTGCGTGCGCGTGCGCGTGTGTGTGTGTGTGTGTGTGTGTGTGTGTGTGTGTGTGTGTGTGTAATTGTTTTAAAACGGCCTGATTGACTGACTACAAGCAGACCTATAAAATAAAATTTATGTGACTTACTGATAACGTCTGAGGTGTTAAATTGTTTTCTGTAAATAAAAAGTGGGTACTTTTTTTTGAAGTGAAATTCAGATACTCAGTCTAAGTGAAATAAACATGTCTTAAACACAGATCAGACCCAGGAGGTTTACACAGACAGCCACTTAGTATGACGTAATGAAAGAGGCCTGTACACTGGCTTTTATCAGAATGTAAATGTGGGAGGAGAAAGTGTGAAGGAGAGAGAGATAGAGAAAAGGATGATTCTAATGAAAGTAAGAGAAGGCTCAGATATGAGCAGGATGCTGAAGGAGAAGGAGTTCTGATGAAAGCCGTTTGGAAACAAATGAAACGACCAAGATGACTCGAAACTCATCAGTTCGGCAGGTACAGCTAGAACTAAACAAACATTCCAACAGCGCTACTGTGCGATCATTTAAGAGAGAAATTGTCTCAGCTCAAATAGAGTTTCACTTCCTTTTGCAACAATAAGTAAGCAGGCCAGGGAAATGTGCAGTGTGTTGGCAGCTTACTGAAATCTTCAAGACAGCTTGAGCTTTATAATCCGTCAGACGTTTGTTAATTAAGTGTTTAAAATGTAAGTGTTTTCTCTGTGCTTTTTTGTACAAAGTATTTACTGAGTGAATAATGCTATGGTCATAACTGTCTGAACTGTTGCTACAGAAAGAAAAAAAGGAACATCTACTTTTGATACGTAAAGAGAAAAAACATAATGGGGTGGTATGTTATGCTACCACCCCAGCGTTGATTATTTTCTTATAAGAGCATGTCCCAAAGTGTTTTTCTTCCTCTTATACCTCAGCAAATTGCTAGCAGTTACAGTTTTAATTTATTAATGATTGACATAGTCATAGTTTTTAATCCGTTTATTGTTCCATTTAATCTTTGGAATGCTTTACAAATCAAGTTCCTGTTATCACCTATGCTATAACTGCTAGAAACACTCATTCCCTCAGCAGTCTCATTTTTTCTCTCTCCTGAAGTTATTAACACAAAAAAACACGTCATGTTACTTTGAAATTGAAAAAAAGCACAAAGTCCAATATCCTGAAGAGTTTCCTATAGTGGAAAATATAAAGGAACAGCTATATCTCTATTACTAAGTGCTAATGAATGTTAATCCATGTATTATTAGAATTAGCTTATTGTGGAGTATCAGCCATACAAGTCCCTGTGAATTAGCACTCACTATAGAAATGGTAACTTTTACGCTCCCTGGAGGACTAGTGGTTAGTCCTCCGTGCTCTCACCACTTCGGCATGGGTTCGACTCCCAGCTTGGGAACCAACCCCACAACAGTGCAGTCCCAGTGCCGGTCCTAAGCCCAGATAAAACTGGGGAGAGTTGCGTCAGGAAGGGCATCTGACGGATGATCCGCTGTGGCGACCCCTAACGGAAGCAGCCGAAAGAACAACAACAACATAGAAATGATAACTTTTAAACAAGCGCAATCACCTGTCACTTGCCTTGTAGCCTATTGTCAGAGCTGTGGTGTTATAGAAAATTACCAATCAGGTTCAAAGAATTCAACAGCACTGTGGTATAAGAGGATTTATCATACAGAACAAGACTGAACGTTTGATACTCATTTCTGATGCTTGTCTAGGAATTTCTCCAGCTCTCCCGACAACAGGTTCAGTCTGAGGAACCACAGTCATTGATCAGGAACAAGTGGTGTGGGCTCCTGTTTTTTCAGTTTTGTCTGGCCGCCTGTATCATTGGTACAGTCATGGGGTTGGGGTATTACTTCCTACAGGAACACACTCTAACCACTCAAGGTAACAAGATGCCGTATCAAACAACAAAATCTAGTGTCATGTCTGTGGTGACTGGTCTTTCCTTTCTATTTGTAATTTTTTTTTTCCATCTCACTCCACATCCCCTTTTCCCTCTAGACCCTCTTCACTGTCTCTCTCCAGCATGCATGAGACTAGCAGAACACTTCTCTGCAGCCATGGATCTTTTTTCCCAACCCTGTGATTATATCCTGTTTAGTTGTGAAGCAGAAATGTCACCCAAGAGCAGCGGGAGACACCGAGGCAAGACCGTCTCCCGTAATGTCACCAGAAGAGATGAGATGAGAAGGAGAGTGGGGAGAGGTAGTGGGATGAGAATGAACAGAGGGTCAGACACTGAAAGAAAGAGAGATGACAGATTACCTGACAGACAGACAGCTTTGCTCCAAGCAATAAAAGAGATCCTGGGTATGACACATACAATATATAACCATTGACCGTTAACGAATGATTTTTAATGATGAAGGGTTTATTTGAATAGTATTTAGCAATATCGAGATTGTAGTATATACAGTTGAAACCAGATATTTACATACACTTCAGAAAAAAACACAAAAACTTTTTTTTCCTTTACTGTCAAACATTAAATCAGAGTAAACTTTATCTGTTTTAGATCAATAAATATTAACATATTTTTTGCATTTGTTAAATGTCCGAATCGAGCGAGGGAGAATTTTTATGTATTTTTTTTTTTTATCACTTTCATCAAAGTCAGAAGTATACATACACTTCCTTAGTATATGGTAGAATTGCCCCGAAACTGTTTCACTTGGGCCAAACGTTTCGGGTATCCGTCCACAAGCTTTCTACAATAGTTTGCTGGGATTTTGGCCCACTCCTCTTGACAGAACTGGTGTAACTGGGTCAGGTTTGTAGGCCTTCTTGCTCGCACTCGCCTTTTCAGTGCCGCCCACAAATTTTCTATGGGATTGAGATCAGGGCTTTGTGATGGTCACTCCAATACCTTGACTTTGTTGTCCTTAAGCCACTTTGTAACTAATTTGGAGGTATGCTTGGGGTCATTGTCCATTTGGAAGACCCATTTGTGCCCAAGCTTTAACTTCCTGACTGATGTCTTCAGATGTTGCTTCAATATATCCACATCATTTTCTTTTCTCATGATGCCATCTATTTTGTGAAGTGCACCAGTCCCTTCTGCAGCAAAGCAGCCCCACAACATTATACTACCGCCCCCATACTTCACAGTTGGGATGGTGTTCTGAGGCTTCAAAGCTTCACCCTTTTTCCTCCAAATATACCGTTTATCATTATGGCCGAACAGTTCAATTTTTGTTTCGTCAGACCACAGGACATGTCTCCAGAAATTAAGATTTTTGCCCCCATGTGCAGTTGCAAACTGTAGTCTGGCTTTTTTATGGTGGTTTTGGAGTAATGGCTTTCTCCTCCCAGAGTAACCTTTCAGCTCGTGGTGGTACAGGACTTGTTTTACTGTGGATAATGACACTGTCTTACCGGTTTCAGCCAGCATCTTCACAAGGTCTTTTGCTGTTGTCCTGAGGTTGATTCGCACATTTCGCACCAAAAAACGTTCCCCTCTGGGACTCAGAATCCGTCTCCTTCCTGAGCGGTATGATGGTTGTACATTCCCATGTTTTTTTATACTTGCGTATTATTGTCTGAACGGATGAACGTGGGACCTTCAGGCATCTGGAAATTGCACCTAAGGATGAGCCACACTTGTGGAGGTCCACAATTCTTTTCCTGATGTCTTGGTTGATTTCTCTTGATTTTCCCATGATGTCAAATAAAGAGGCTCTGTGTTTGAGGTGTGCCTTTATATGCATCCACAGGTGTGCCACCAATTAACTCAAATGGAATCAATTAACCTATCAGAAGCTTCTTAAGCTCAGAATGGAATCATCTGGAGTTTTCTTTTTGTTTAAAGACACAATAAACTTAGTGTATGTATACATAAAAATTCTCCCTCGCTCGATTCTGACATTTAACAAATGCAAAAAATATGTTAATATTTATTGATCTAAAACAGAAAAAGTTTACTCTGATTTAATGTTTGACAGTAAAGAAAAAAAAAAGTTTTTGTGCTTTTTTCTGAAGTGTATGTAAATATCTGGTTTCAACTGTAGTATTTTGTTCTACAATCTTTATATAAGTATATAAGGATAATTACCTGCACAGGCACTAGGTCTAAACTGGAAATATACATGAGGTTATATTTGAAACTTATATTTGAATGTTTGGTCTCTGTGATGTTTGCATGATTAGAGTCTCCCAAAAGGAATGATACCAGTGCAGCACAGAAAGCACAGACGTTCTATGACACCTGCATGAGGTCTAACACTACATTCACTGAGAGCATATATCACGCCCAAACGCTAATTCAGCAGGTATATACTGTACACAAATTCTCTCACACACACATACAGCCCAAATGTAGATTTAAGATTATTTAAAATGGCTAAAAATTGGCATTTTATCCATTCCCTTTCTTGTGTTCTTTTCAGCTTTCCAGTCATTTACTACTTGTTGTTTAGTGAATATAGAATATTCTGTCCAGTTGGATCACATATTGGATGGACATGCATAAAGCAATCTGTGTTTGTGTGTAGCTGGGTGGCTGGCCTGTATCTGGGAGCTGGACTCAGCCTGAGTTGAACTCCACTCTGGCTCTGCTGATGTCGCAATACAACACCTTTCCTTTCTTTAATGTATATGTGGGCCCTGACCACAATGAGAGCCAGAACTACATACAGGTACATTCAAACAATTAAAAAAAAAATGCTGATTATCCTACCTTGCATTTAGTCTTAAATTCCAAACTTTAAAAACCTTGGATCTATAAACCTTTGAGAAAGCAGTAGTCTATACTGTTCCTTTCACTTGATTGGCTGCATCCACATTAGTCCTTTGCAGATAAGACTGTACACCCTTGGCTTAAATTTACACATGCTTTCCTTATTAATAAGCATTTACTTATTACTTATAACTAATTAAGCATTATTAAGCAAATTGAGCATCCATAATTAATTGAACATTAATTAATAAGCTGAGTATGATCGCAGCAGGGAATCATCTTCAGTATATCCTTTAATATACAGATGTATAGATATGTAATGTCATAATGTTAAAATTAGTGTCCGAAATGTGTGCAAAAAGCATTTTAACCCTTCTTTTCAAACACTGGCATTTCCGCAGATTGATCAGCCAGACTTTCAGTTCCCTGTTGAGTGGAACAGCCACACAAACAGATCCAAATTCAACTTACAGGTACAACTGAACATAATTTGAGGTTAGCAAGTTGACAAAGAAAAATGAAGTGTTCACATGGTGTAAAAAATGATGTAAGATTTATGAGAAATACAAGCATGATCTTTATAGTATTATGGTAGTTACTGGGCCATCTGGAAAAATTTTTTCTTCTCTCTTTTCAGTCTCTGCGTCCATTCTTCTCATCCTGTAAGGAGCTTTTGGCTCTGTTGAATATTTCCTTAACTAGCAGTATTAAGCGCTGTGCCTTATATATGTCTCTGAGTTCAACTCTAGTTACAAACACTGCACCTCTTTCCTACCGACTCAGCCAGAAACTATTGTACCATCGAATCACCATCCAGGAGTTACAGGTAGGTGTTTATCACTTAAACAATTTATGGGTACTTGTGTGACAGGGAAGTAAGAACGTGTGTGTGCGTGTATGTGTGTGTGTGTGTGTGTGTGTCTTTTTTTCTTTAGGAGCTGGCCCCCACTATTGATTGGCTCAGCTGTCTCCAGGCTATCTTTCATCCTGTTCCAGTCAGCAAGTCAGATGTTGTGTTATTGCATAATCAACCCTATATCATCTACATGTCACAGACAATTATCAACTGGACGCATAGACATGAGATGAAGGACAGGTAGATCATATTAGATTTTAGCTGTATGTAGTTATTTTTAGTATTTAGCATACAATTTCACATCAGCTTTAATAGCAGTACTGCTGTGACAGTTAAAGTAGTTATCTGTATGTGTGTGTGTCTTTTGGTTTGTAGTTATCCTCTCCATACTTATATGATCATGAATGTTCTGCAAACACTCATGCCTGCTCTGCACACCAGATTCATGCAGACCATGAAAAACTTCTCTATAACAGTTGACAATGAAAATGAGGTGTGTATTAAATCGAGGTGTATCTTCAAATTTCATCGTTTTTAATATTTCTTAAAGTTGTCGAATGAACTGGATTGTAAGTTTTTTTGTGCTACTTAAGGTTGTGCCACACTGGAGACACTGTGTACTGCAGACGGTGAAAGGTTTTGACACTTTGATCAGTCATTTGATCAAAGACCATTATGCTGGTGAAGAGGTATGACTAATAAGGATATTTAAGTAATAATATTACAAATAATGGATGGATGGATGGATGGATGGATGGATGGATGGATGGATGGATAGATGGATGGATAGATGGAGAGATAGTTGGAAAGAGGGCTGGTGCAATGAATGTACATGTGAGCCAACAGATATACATATATG